TCCCATTCTAAAGCCTCTGGCTGGTCTGGGAGGAGGGCAGATCCCTGTCTCATACCAGAGCCCTTCCTAAGGCACGTGCCTGCAATGGTTGGGATGATGTTGGCAGTGCCAAGAGCTCCTGATTCCTCCTGGGAGAGACCTGGGCAGCAGCCACATCTCTTGCTCAGGGGGAAGTTGTCCCTCCTTTTCCCACTGCCTTAAATCCAGGGGAAACCAACGTGCCACTGCTTCTGGAAAGGGAAGTGAGTGTGAAAGCCGTGTGTGGTGAGTCAGACTTTGGACATACACATGAGGTTAAACAGCTTAGGACCATTTATGCACAGAGTTGTTAATAACTAACAGTAAAGAGAGAGTTTGACATCTGAGAGGGTTTTTCTCTCCCTGTCTCCCATTATCCTGTCCATTGGAAAGCAGAAAGTTTCCATGGTTCAACCTCTTGTCCATGGAAGAACAACTCAGCCAGGGGATTTCTCCCAAAGCAAGTTCAGGAGGATCATGATCCTCCAATGTACTTTTTCTACTTCCCAGTACCTTCCTTGTCTCCTGTGTCACCCAGGCCACTCCATCTCTGATCTTCCTTTCCAGGGCAATGATTTCAAAGCAAAAGTTTTCATGGGTGTCAGCAACCTACAGTGAATTCCAAGATGATTCCTATCAAGGCTGACATGTGCCTCAGGGATCTGGGATGCTCCTGCTGGAAACTGCCGTGTGTGTGTGATGGCCCTGGGACCAGAACTGTCACCTCTCTTACTGCTGACACCGTGTTTGTGGCCCCAGCTATGGAATCTCACATCCCCTCAACAGCCCAGTCCTTTCAAGGGCAAACACTTCATGATCCAGCAGCTGATGGGGCTCCAGGAGAGTTGGAGAGGGACTTTGGACAAGGGCATGGAGTGACAGGACAAGGGAGAATGGCTTCCCACTGACAGAGGGTGGGGTCAGATTGGATATTGGGAAGTAATCCTTTTCTGTGAGGGTGCGGAGGCCCTGCCATACATTGCCCAGAGAGGCTGTGGCTGCCCCTGGATCCCTGTAAGTGTCCAAAGCCAGACTGACATGGGTTTGGAGCAATGTGGGATAGTGGAAGGTGTCCCTGCTTGCAAAGGGACAGTCTGGGATCAGACAACCACAAAAACAACCCCAAGTGTTCCCAGGACTGAGGAGGAGCAGGAGCAGCCCTGGTGAAGGGCTGGCAGGGGGTTCCCAGCACCCTGGTCCCTGATAGCTTTCACTGTGTAATCATGGGGATTGGCAGTGATCAGGGTGGGCTCCAAGTGCTGATAGCCTGGCTGCAAGTAACTGAGTGCTGTCCTTCCCTTGGGCTGTGTGAGCCTGCATTGGAATGACAGGAATGGGAATCCATGGCCCAGGGATGATCCCATGAGCCCAGGGGAGGCTTTGGCAGTGGTTCTGGAGCTCTTCCCAGAATGGGAGCAGTTTCTGACAAGCAGCCAGATGCTTCACCAGCACTGCCAGCACTGCCAGCAGCATTCCAGTGCCACCAGCACCACCAGCATCCCTCTGCTGCTGGAGGTACAATGACTCCTCAGGGAAGAGAAAGGAGGTATAGCAGAAATCTGTCTGGTCAGGGAAGGAAGTTAAAGAATGGGACACTCTACAGGGAAGGAGTGTTTCTAATTAGGGGGAAATGAGGACACATTCAAAATGTTATGAACAGGTGCTATGGTGATTGACTCTCGCAAATGTGGAATGAATATTATGTGTGTTATAATGTTCAAAGAAGCTCTGTTAAGATTTGGAGTTTTTCTAACCTGAGTGCTGTGTTCATGTTGAGAGTTGTAATGCTGATCTCTGACCATTGTGGGGAGCCGAAGCCCGAAGCGCTGCACAAGCTCAGGGAAGGCGGGACGGAGGAGGAGATTTGTTGGAAAAGCGGAATGTGTCTGAATGCCGGGGTTGGATTACCGAGAGTCTGCAAAGCCTGTTTCTGTTGCAGGCAGTGTGCCTCTGGCCGTGCCTCTGTCTGCGACTGAGCACCAAGCGTTTTTACTTTTACCTTATTTTGTCCCTTGCTGTAGTTTAATAAATTTTTTAAATTTTAAGAACGGACGCGTTGTTTCTCACAACAAAGAAAACAAATCACTTGATTTTTACGGGGAAAAAGTCAAGATCAGTTACTCCGGGGGTGTGGAAATCTAACGGAGACAAATTTGTAAAATCATTTCCGAGTCCTCTGTGACTGCACCAAGCTCTGGGAAACAGTACCAGAATTGGGAACAGAGAGGAGCCAGCAGGACGGGAATGGGGAGCTCCTGGTGAGCTGGGCACTTTGTCCTTCATGTCCCTGACCTGGCAGGAGCCGCTTTAGGACATGGATCCCAAAGGAGCAAGAGGGACCAGGAAGCGCCGCTGATCTGCACAGACCCCTTTGCCTGCTGCTGCCCCACAGGGAACAGGTCAGTGGAATGTTTGCCTTCCTCCCTACCCCACCTTCCTCTCCTGCAGCAGCTGCTCTGTTCCTGACACCCTCTCCAGGTGACCGCAGGGCCCTCCCCAGCTCCCTCCTCCTCTGCCCTATCTTGACGTCAAAATAGGCTGAAATAAACATTCTAACACAATGGGAAGCATTAAGAAGCAGGAATTCTCTACCTGCACAGGACACAATGAAGGATCTCTATTTGATCTGTGTGTGTAGTGAGACTTTACAACGGGGGTTTTGTGCACTATAACCACACATAATCATTAATGGGTGTTTCTTATCTAATACACAAACATCTCTTTCTTTAAACTAATTTTCATGTGTTCTCCTCCTATTGGAAGTCCTTTCCTCATCCTCGAGGATCATTCAGAGGGGTCTCTGGTGTTTGTATTCACTGAATGCTGAGATATTAAAGGTGACCTTGTCTTGAACTTTTCCTTTGGCCATGTAGTGTTGCTTCTTATTACAGAACTTTCCCTCAAATCACTGCAGGCCTCCAAATCTGTTTCTGCACTGGCTCCAGATATATTTGTCATCGGAGCTGGGCTTTCCTCCTCCCTCCTGGGTCCTAGAACCCTGTGGCCCGCAGGAGCAGGGACACTGTCAAGGTCCCAGTAGGAGTGGAGCTGTCAAGAGAAAAAACTCAGCTCTGGGTGGGTTCTGGGGTGTCAGAGATGGCTAGAGGGGTCAGGAGAGGGTCAGAGGGGGCTGCAGGGGGTCTGGATGCTGGCAAAGCCAGAGGAGAGCAGAGCCTGACAGGCCACGCTCAGAGTGGGGGAGCGGCTCCATCTGGGAAAGCTGTGGGATGTGATAGGATGGGGTGAGGATGGAGAGCGGGGTGGGAATGGGGTGAAGAGATTGGGAGAGGATAGGATAGGGTAGGATAGGGTAGGATAGGATAGGATAGGATAGGATAGGATAGGATAGGATAGGATAGGGGAGGGGAGCCGAGGGGAGGGGAGGTTAGGGAGCAGCTCAGCTCTGCTTCCTTGAATGCATGGGAGGCTTTGGCAATGATCCCGGAGCTTTTCTGGGAATAGGAGTTGTTTATGGGAAGCACACAGCTGTCTCACTAGCACTGCCAACCTTCCCGTTCTACCAGTACCCCTCTGCTCCTGGAGGGACCATGACCCCTCAGGCAAGAGAAAGGAGGAATGGTAGAAACCTGTCAGGAGAGGGAAGGCAGTCGGAGAATGGCACATTCTGCAGGGAACGGGTGTTTCTCATCAGGAGCAAATTAGGAGTCCCTTACAAAATGTTTTATTAGGAACTTTTCAGGTACATCCTCTCTATCAAAAAAAACCCCAAGATAAAAAACTGTGAGGAAGCAAAATTCTGATGTAGACAAAGATGCAATTTCCAACTCTCACATGACTCCACCAAGGCTTGGGGAGCAACACTAGTGTAATAGATGTTAAAAATAATTCATGCTATTAAAGAATGTATTTTATAAAGATTGTGAAATCCGAACATGTCTCTGACCACACACGGCCTGAAAGCAGATGTCTATTCAGATTCTGAGATTCCCGGACAAGGCTAAGATAGCAATCGACACTTTAGTGTAAGAATAGACGCTCCCAGAACAATGAGCACCAGTATCTCGAGTTGTCAGAAACTGCCTAAGAGATCATCGTCCTGTGGATAACATCAATCAAGACAGCCAGGGAAGCCAGAGCATACATGTGAATACATGGCTTCCCTGAAGTCAATCAACACTGGCTATCCACCTGGAGACGGTCTTTGTCCAGCTCTGAAGGCTGAAAGAAACAGCAATGAATGTGAAGAGTTACAAAAGAAATTGGGACTCCTTCGCCTCGGGCACAATAAGCTTTATAAAACCTCGTTGCTTGCGTGAACGAGGGAGGATTCGATGCGATAGAGGTTGGATCCAGGTTCACCCAGCGCCGTTCCCGGGATCGACACTGTATCTTTGGCTGTGGTGGTTTTGAAGACCGTATCTCATTTGTGATAATTTGGCTCACGATTGATCATTTATAACACCAGGATAGGGCATGGAGAGGAGTGATATGGGATCCAGTGGGACAGGAATGGAGAGCTCCTGGTGACCTGGGCACTTTCTCCTTCATGTCCCTGACCTGGCAGGAGCTGCTTTAGGACATGGATCCCAAAGGAGCAAGAGGGACCAGGAAGCGCCGCTGATCTGCACAGACCCCTTTGCCTGCTGCTGCCCCACAGGGAACAGGTCAGTGCAATGTTTGCCTTCCTCCCTACCCCACCTTCCTCTCCTGCAGCAGCTGCTCTGTTCCTGCCACCCTCTCCTGGTGACCGCAGGGCCCTCCTCAGCTCCCTCCTCCAATGCCCTGAGCTTTGCTTCTGCATCCCCTGCTGAACAGCCCAATCCTCCCACCTCCCTCTCATATCACACCATTCCCACTGCCCTCCTCCCCTGCACATCTCTCTCCTCCCCACTGAATCCTTCCCACTGCAGGGAGCTGCTGAGGAGCCGCATTGTCCATCCCTGGATTCTCCAAGCACTGACTGCCCATCCACTCTGACCACAGCCAGGGGCCACATCCCACTGCCTGCCCAGTGTCCATCCATGGAGGTGAGCACCGCATCCCCTCCTTTCACCTCACCAACAGATGGACCTGGTCAGTGTGAGATCAATGTCTCCAGCATGGCCATGCACTTTGTGATGCTGCTCGTTGGGCTCTGTGGGCTGGCTGGGAACGGGGCTCTCCTCTGGCTACTGCACATTAATACCATCACCGATTTCGTCTTCAACCAGGCCATCACCGACTTCCTCTTCCTCATCTTCATGGTCCCCTCCACCCTGGTATTCCTTGTGGAGGAGGTTTCCTTCTCTGCTATAATGTCCCCAATGTATTTGAGCTTGCTTTTCCAGCTGTCGCTGTTCGCCTACAATATGGGGCTGTACAGGCTGACGTTCATCAGCATCGAGAGGTGCAGGTCCATCCTCTGCCTGGTATTCTGTGGTTGCCAACTTCCTGAGCACCTGCTGAGGGTTGTGATGAGTCTCCTGTTCTGGGCCTTCCTCTTTGTTGTGATTGCTGTCAATCCCACGGTGACTTCCTTGTGCCAGTCACACGAGCAGGAGCAATGCCAGGTGGCTGTCACCTCCATGTACGCCGTCAACCTTTTTCTATTTGCTGTACCCATGGTCATTTCCAGCACAATCCTCTTAATTCATCTCAAGCCTAGCTCCCAGCAGCAGCCACACAAGAGGCTTGACATTGTTGTCTTCCTCGTTGCACTCGTCAGTCTGCCCCTCAGTCTCTGGTCTCTCCTGGAGCTCAGTTACACAGGTGTACCCTCCCAGGTGGTTTTCCTGCTCACCAGCATCAATAGCAGCATCAAACCCTTTATCTGCTTCTTGGTGGGGAACTGGAAGAGAGACTGCTCCATGGGGAGCTGCTGGAGACACTGCTCCATGGGGAGCTGCAGGAAGTACTTCTCCATCCAGTCCCTAAGGGAGGCGATCCACAGGGTGTTTGAGGAGCCAGAAGAAAACACTGACTGTGGAGATGATCCTGTGGTAAACACCAGGGTCTGAGCCTGTTGATCCCTTCCACTGCACTGCTGAAGGACCCTGGGACAGTGGCTGAGAAATTCCTTGAGTCTCCTGATCAATAAATATCCACAGGATCACCCTCCCTGTGCTGCTGCATCCCCAGCCCCTTTCCAGGCCGCTCTGAGCTCTGATCTGTGCTTGGGAGGCCTCAGCCTTGAGGAGCAGCCCCTGGGCTCAGCTCCTGTGGCGCTGATCAGAAACACCCTCTGCTCCCAGCAACTGCTGCTGTCCAACCACCTCCTGGGCTTTTATCAACAGCCTTGCAAATTCTTGCACTGCCCTGGATGCCACAGCATCCCTGCTCTGCCACTGTCCCAGGAAGCTGCCGGCCCCAAGTGTGGCCAGGCTGAACCATTGCTGTGAGTGCCGCCCATGCCTTGGGGCCCTGTGAGCAGCGGCCCCAGAGGAGAGCCTTGGAGCTCTGCTGGGCCCAGCAGCGCTGAGCAGAAGCTCCCTGGCACTGGGGCCTCTCCCAGCTGGGATCTCTCCCGGCTGCTGCCCTGGGCTGATCCCCGAACGCCGATGGCTCCTGGGCCCATCCCCCCAGGGCTCCAGGCCCAGCCCTTGGCCCAGGGAGGAGATGCAAAGGGATCCGCAGGGAGCATTTCACTGCCTGCCAGGGCAATTGCTCACAGGGTCCTTGCACTGACTCTGCCTGACTGGCTGGCTGTGTGCACACACGTCTGCATCTGCTCTGGCAAATATGGCAGAAATGCTGCTCTCTCAGCTGTGTTAGTACCTCAGACATCTGAGCGAGTCAGGCCTGGAAGCAAGGTTAAGGCATGAGATACCATTCCAGCTAAATGCTGTAAAGTGTTATTTCTTTGCTGAATTTTTTTTTTCAAGGTACAAAAGCAGGAATGGCTGGAAGCAGGAGAGACACTGCTCATGGTCCTAGATGAGTGGGAATGTAGGGGAAAATCTGGTCCCAGCGCAGGCCTGGAGGTTGTCATGTTGGAAAAGAAATGAAATTTTGCAAAATGTTTAATTATAGTTTCGTTATGAGTTGTGTGTGAATTGGTTTGTTAAAAGCAGTTTGTAGCCGTTGATAGTGTGTGTGTTGGGTTTGTGTGTAACCTAGCAGGTAGTCTTAGGAATTCAATAAATATTTAAAATAGTGCAGGAAAGTAAGAATGCTAACCTGTCTGGAGGCAGCATACAATGCTCTTAGAATAAGATAAGCAGAAGATTTATGATCTTGCTTGTGAACTAAGGAATGTATCACAAGGGGACTGTGACTAGGCAAGGGGAACTGTTTCTTGGAGACCTTGTTATGAATCGCATGTATAAAAAGGGAAGTACCCATATGTGAAATTGGGGGCTCGGACTTGGGCCTTAGTCCGCCGCCACCCTCGGGCCCTTAATAAAGCACCCACAAAACTTATCCGAGTTTTGTGTCATTTATCAACCGGGCAACAGTTTTTCTGGTGACCGCAGCAGGACTCCGAAGGTTGCCGGGGTGGTTCCGCGTCTCGATCCACTCCAAGCCGGCACCGAGCATTTCTCGGGGAGTCATCGGTTCGTACCCACCCCTGCGCCTGTCGGACAACTGCATTAAGGTAGGCCCAGAGGTGCTTTATATTGGAAAAAGGTGATAATTAGATTTGGATTTGGTGGTTTGTAGAAAAGCCTAGGCTCCGGCCATAAGACGTCTAAGGTCGCAGGACCGGAACTCGCCTCCTGTTTGTTTTTTTTTGGGAAGGACGGCGAGAAGGTATATTGGTTTAAGGCATATTGGTTTATTGGGATTAAAGGTGGAATTAAAGGCTGTAATATGATGTCTTTTAAAACTTTTAAAACCTTAGTGCAAGCCAATGGAAAAATACCTGGAAATACGCCATTAGGTTGTATATTGAAACGATGGAAAAGTGAGGGGTATTATCAAGAATTGGATAAAAGCAAAATGATAGATTATTGTAATCACTGGTGGCCTGAATATGAGATTGGGGAAGCGGGATGGCCGGTGAATGGTACACTGGAATTGGGGATAATGGAATCTCTGATGCAATTTTTAAGGAAAAATGAGAAATGGGATGAAATACCATATTTAGATTTGTTCTTTATTTTACACCGGAAAGATGAATGGCAAAAGGAGTGCGGTATTTTGGTTTTAGAAGTGAATGATGAAAGGGAGCATGTGAGATGTAAAGAAAGAAAGGAGCGTAATTTGTATCTTTCAATCGAGGAAGATTTGTCTTATTGTATAGCACCCCCGAGGGTTCCGGTTGCTCCTAATGTGCCCCCTGCCCCCCCTGCGGATATAGCTATAAAAATGGGATCTAGTGAGAGTGATAGTGATGGTGATGATGGTGAAAAGAATGAGAGTGTTAAAAGAACTCCGTTAGCAGGGCGGACTCGCCAGGGGAGGAAGGGGCAGAAGGGGCCACAGTTAATTGCGCCGTTAAGGGAAGCTGTGGGACCACAGGGAGAAAGGATACTTATAAAGGTGCCTTTCTCCCCCAGGGATTTGGTAATATGGAAGCAATCAGCGGGGAGTTATCGGGAGGATCCTGAAAGGGTGGCAAGGGTGGTTAAAATGGTAATAAAGACTCAGAATCTGGACTGGAATGATTTACAGATATTATTAGATACTATCATGGATTCCACGGAAAAGGAAATGGTTATTAGAGCCACTAGAGAAAAGGCTCATGAGGAGATTCGGTTGAGACAACTAAATGAAACAGTTGATGAATTGGTACCTAGTGAGGAACCAAGGTGGGACCCAAACCCTACGGGAGGAATAAGGGCTGTAAAACGATATCAGGAATTGTTGGTGAAAGGAATTAGGACAGGAATACCTAAGACTATGAATTGGTCTAAGCTGTATTCGGTCAAGCAGGACAAGAATGAGTCTCTGTCTGCCTTTTTAGAACGATTAAAAGACATGGCTTGGAAGTTTACTAATTTAGATGTAGAGGATCAATCAGGAAAACTTCAATTGGCATTGTTGTTTATGGGGCAATCACAAGAGGATATTAGGAAAAAGTTACAAAAGCTGGAAGGAGAGGACACTCGGAGTTTGGATAAAATGTTGGAGGTAGCGTGGAAGGTATACAACAACAGGGAAAAAGAAACTGCAAAAAGACAACAAGCTAGTATTCTGGCTGTAATGCAACAGACAGGGGCAGGAGGAAGACCCATTAGGGGTCGAGGTCGGGGAGGAGCTAATCGCAGACAGAGGGGGCTGGCAAGAGGTCGGGGAGGATTTGGGTTTGCACCTAATATGGGGAGGTTGGATCCAAACCAGTGTGCGTTTTGCCGACAGTTGGGACACTGGAAAAATGAATGCCGGCTTAGAGGAGGTATGGGCATGGGAAACATAGGATTAAGGACAGGTCCAATGGGGAATGCTCCTGTGGGAGGATTCACGGGAGGACCAGCAGAGGTAGCTCAAGCACTAATTTTGGGAAACTATCAGAATCAAAGCTGACTAGACCAGGATTTGAGGGTAGTTTTAGAGATAGATGGAAAGGATCAAGAATTTATGGTAGACACTGGAGCCACATATTCTGTACTTAATAGACGATTGGGACCTTTGAGTGACACAACGGTACAGGTGGTGGGGGCAACAGGGAAGCTAGAGGAACAACCATTTTTACAACCTTTAAATCTTAGGTTTGGGGGGAAGGAATTAGATCACCAATTTTTGTATATGCCAAATTGCCCCACACCCCTTCAGGGCAGAGACCTGTTGTCCCGACTTAATGTGAAAATAATATTTGAGGGGGAAAGGGTGAAATTGGAAATACCTGAGGAACAAATAGCAGGCATTTTTGTGATCAAGGAAGTGGATGCCTCTCCTATTCCAGAAGAAATTGAGCAGGCTGTAGTACCCTGGGTATGGGAGTCAGGGGTCCCCGGAAAATCTAAAGCTGCGCAGCCAGTAAAGGTGGAACTAAAGGAAGGGGCCCAACCAGTGAGGGTAAAGCAATACCCCTTGAAGCTTGAGGCAAGGAGGGGAGTAGCCCCGTTAATTAAACAATTTTTGGTTCAAGGAATATTACAGGAATGTGAATCGGAGTATAATACTCCAATTTTTCCAGTGAGGAAGCCTAATGGTAAGTACCGTTTGGTACAGGACTTGAGGGCTATTAATGAAATAGTGAAAGACATACATCCAGTTGTTGCTAATCCTTACACCTTGTTAACATCTGTATCGGAGGAGTTTAAATGGTTTCCAGTGATTGACCTTAAAGATGCCTTCTTCTGCATCCCACTGGCAGTAGAGAAATATTTTGCCTTCGAGTGGGAGAGTCCTGATTTTGGGAGAAAGAAGCAGCTTACGTGGACGAGAATCCCACAGGGATTTAAAAACTCCCCTACTATTTTTGGAAACCAACTGGCCAAGGAGCTGGAGGAATGGAAGATAACCCAGGTAACAATATCCCCATCCTTGTATGTAGTCCTGCAGTACATGGACGACATTTTTCTGGCTACCAAGGAAAGGGAAATGTGTGTGGAATTAACAATTCACTTACTCAACATGCTGGGCCAAGCAGGGTATCGGGTTTCTAAGGAAAAAGCTCAATTGGTCAAAAATAGCGTTATTTGTCTCGGTTGTGAGATCACACAAGGGCAGAGACGTTTGGGAGTAAACCGAATAGAGGCAATATGTGCTATTCCTTTGCCTCGTAACCATCAGGAATTGAGATCTTTTCTAGGAATGGTGGGATGGTGTCGACTGTGGATCATGAATTTCGGTCTCCTAGCCAAGCCACTGTATGAGGCCTTGAAGCAGCATTGGTTGGAGTGGACGACACAGCAAAAGAAGGCCTTCCAGGAATTGAAGCAGGCACTAAAGGAGGCCCCAGCCCTAGGACTCCCTGACCTGACCAAGGAATTCCAGTTGTATGTGAATGAGAGGCAAAAACTGGCATTGGGGGTCCTCACCCAGAAGGTGGGATCCTGGAAGAAGCCAGTGGGATACTTCTCTAAACAACTGGATTCGGTAAGTTCCGGGTGGCCCTCGTGTTTACGAGCCG